TTGTCCAGCATTCACTGCAATATAGGAGGACTGATATTACGTAACAGTTCAGTACACTTTTCCTTGTTTCCAACGACATTTTTCTGTTTCTTAATACATTGTTTAGCTTTTGGGAGGCATCTTTCTGTATCCCTATGCGCTTTTGGAATTCAATGTCGCACTTTCCGTCACCTGTTAAAATACTTCCCGGATATTTAAATTTTTGGTACTTGTTTTGATTTTGGTATCCCCAATTTGCAATTCCTACGTTGGACTGTTCCTTTTTCTTACAACCATGCATTCCGTCTTCTAGTTATTAGTGTTTAGTCCTTTCTTCTCGCTTTCCATTTGTCTCCTTCCGTGGGAGTTCTTATAGTTTCCTTTGTGTGTCTGCTATCAACACTGTGTTATCTGCATATCAATACTGCAATAATTCGAATACACAAATAAAATACAGATTGGAAACGGGGTGAGACAAGGAGGTACAAGATCTTCTCATCTATACGCATACAGTCTTGAAAGTAATTTTCGGAATATGAACTTGGAAAGAATGGGAGCAGGCTTAAAAGAGATATATTTAAACCATCTAAGATTTGTAAAGTATACTTTTTAGTCCTGGGTATGATGATAAGACCACTGACGTGGAGATTGGGGGTTTTGAGGTGCGTGGAACCACCTCTTAATTGCTGTTGTTCACATATACACCGGTGACCCAGGATGGTAGCACCTGTTAGCATCCCAGCTATGGACAAAAAAGTTAACGCCCCAAATACTATGAAAGTATAAAAATACATTTTTATATAAAAAAAATTACATATATATATATATTTCAGGTTCTAAGAGTAAATAAAATGATTGGCTTGGTTTGATTTGTTTTACGGCTTATCAACCTCAATGGGTTATTTAATGCCGACAATATATTGCTGGCAAGATTCATTTCTTCAAAAATGTATTGCTGGTAATAATTTTAAAAAAAAAATAGTGCTAGTATTAAAACCTATTTTTACATTTTCATATTCTTTTGACCCCAGTTTAGGGGTTAACTATTTGCTCATAGTTGGGACCCTAACAGATGCTACCACCACGGAGCAGGGTGGACCTAGGAACACGAGCAATTAAGAGGTGGTTCCTCGCTGCTTAAAAACTCCTGATAAGAGGCCTCGCTGTCAGATGAAGTTTATAGTCTTAAATCGAGTTTGGAGCTGCTCAGTCCCCATTTGCCTTTCTTGAGCTCACCATCGTCTAAGCGGCCTTGTGGGCGGTGAATTTATTGACCCTAAAACCGTAGAAAAGTTGCGATGCTCTCGCTGCTCTATTTCTATTTATATGGCAAGCATTATGACGATCTATAACCCCTAGTTCCACCCCGACACCCTGGCGTTTACAGACCTTAAATACAGGCAGATGAGAGCATTATTTTCCAAATAGTGAAGACAAATTTATAAATTTTCTTATATAGAATAAGGATCACAAGATAATATAAACAGACCCTGACCTTTTACCTATCAAGATGGATAGGTCTTCGCTCAAGGAGGCTCCCGGTCTTGAACGTCTGCTGGAACTCAAACTCTCACCAGACCTCAAGTGGAAGACATATATCCGATCTAAAGATGCTGGAAAAATGGCTGGTACATTGTACCGCTCCAGTAAGTATCTGACTCCCATTGCTATACTCTATATAGACCAGAGTATTGGAGTATTGCTGTCATATCTGGGATGGAGCTGCTCAGTCTTCACTTGATGAATTATTTTCCACTCTACGCCTTTCCAGCGAACAAAACGTCACGAGCCTCTCTCTGCTATATCACTATTTCTATGGCAAGTGATCTGACGTGCTACATCCCTTACTCCCATCACCCTAACATCTACAACTGGGACCCGCCATGCCACCTACTCAAATGGGAATCATCTCCATTGCGTTCGTATTCCATTAGTAAGGAGGAAGTTCCAGTCAAACAACTTCTTCCCAAGATCGGTTGCTTTGTGGAACAGGCTCCCGACAGGATGTTTCCCCAGTCACTATAATCTTGATCACTTCAAGTCTACTACTAACTATTATCCATAGCCCCATTAACTTCACTTCTTGTCATTTCTTACGAACATACAACGCTACGCAGTACCCTTCTACCTTGAGTGGCTCAAGGGCCTTGTATTAGGTGAACATTAAAATATATGAAAATTATTAATTTATGATACAAGCAATTTCCTCTGAATATAGAACAGAATATTCGGTTTCCTTTAAAAAAAATCGCTGTATTCACAGGACAAATAAAAATTGTTCCTATAATAATAATAATAATAAATAACTGCATTTGGAGAAAGTGTCTAGTCGTTTAACCTATCGTAAAATGATATATTGTATTTATTCGCGTGTAAGTCGAACTCGTGTATGAGTCGAACTCGTGTATAAGTCGACCTCGTGTACAAGTCGACCTCGTGTACAAGTCGACCTCGTGTATAAATCGATTGTTGTGTTTCAGCCAATGGTAAAGTCAATATTAGCTGTTTCCCTACAAGGAACCATTTAACATTCATTGACAGAGCAGCCAGTGCTACTTCTGGTTGAAATTCATAAATATTTTGCTCTTAAAACAATTTTTTGTTTAAAGTCCTCAAATGACATGGCTTCTGTCATTTGTGACAATTCTTTGTTTGTGATTATGTAGCGCCAGATCCCAAGGTTGGAAGAAGGATGATTCTCGCAAAGTTGTTGAGTTTTGACCAATAGTAATTATAATGTTAATATTATTTGTTTCCTTCTCTGAAAATATTACGAATTCATTGACCGAGCAGCCTGTGTTGCCGAGGGATGAAATTTCCACAATCGTTCTCTTAAAACAATGATTCAAGAAAATAGTAATCTCAAGATCATTAACTGTTATAGTTCTTGCCAGTATTTATAAAAGTCTTCATTTCTAAGCTTTTCTTTGAAATACTGCGGAATGTCCACAACTTAATTACTATTTTCTCTTTCGATTTACCATTTTAGTTTCAGCTGCTGAATGTCTTCAAGTGATGTGCTTTCTGTCATTTTGTACCGTTCTTTGTTTGTGATTATGTAATTAACTCCCTAGACTGCAACCTGCTTGATTATTACACGTGGGGTGCCGTTGAACGAGAGACCAACAAAATTCCTTGTAACACCAAAGATGGACTTAAGGCTAGGATTATGGCAGCATTCACCAACTTAAACAAGGAGACTGTCCAGAAGATTTCGAAGAATTCTGGAGGTCGTGGTTGAAGCCAATGGCAATTTTCTTTGTATAAATTTACACTTCAATATTTCAAAATAATTTTGTATCATTTCGGTAAATATAAAATGAGATGTTATTTTCATTTCTGCGTAATTTAGACAATAATTTATTCATCGCACCATATATATATATATATATATATATATATATATATATATATATATATATGTGTGTGTGTGTGTGTGTATGTGTGTGTGTGTGTGTTTGTGTGTGAGGTCTATAACAGCAAAATTGTCTAAATCGTGTAACAGCAAAAAGTAACTGAAAAGGAAACCCAATTAGTTTAACGGTCTTTTTTTAGATATTAAACATTTTGTAGGATGGAGAATTGTCTCATGCTGGTACATGATTTGGACAATTTTTGCTTTTTGATATATATATATATATATATATATATATATATATATATATATATATATATATATATATATATATATATAAAAATTTTTTATGTATACATTCTTTTATACAGAGAAATATTTAAGTAAATGCTCTGTTTTATAATAAACATAATTAAACAACATTTACCGGCCTGATTGTCCAAGAAATTCTCGATCGGTTAAGGCACGTCAGATTAAATGAAGGTTCCGTATCGGATACAGGTTCGATTCCTGTCGGAGGACGAATATTATCTGTGAAAATTTCTCGAACTTTCAGGCCGGTAAATGTTATTAATACTGTTTATTTATAAAATAGAGCATTTACTTAAATATTTGTATCTATAAAAGAATGTATAAACATAAAAATGTCTTAAAATAATTTGTCGGACTTTGTCCATTTAATATATATATATATATATATATATATATATATATATATTGAAAATGGACATATATATATATATATATTATGAAATGGGCATATATATATATATTATGAAATGGATATATATATATATATATATATATATATATATATATATATATATATAAATGATCAAAGTCCGATAATTATTTTAAGACATTTATGTTTATATATATATATATATACGTGGGTATATAAAGTTTTATTCTTTTATGTGGCAAGTCTCTTCATAAATGTGGGTGATAATACCTCTCCACTATTTCTTTTTTAGTTGTTGTTTGTAACTTTTAAACTTTCAACACCACTCTTTACCGTACTAATCGATGCTCCAAAATTTATTGTCTGGATTTTGTGACCAAACTTCCAAATCTTCTTCCGAAGAGTATCTTGGTCAGGCCGAGAACTTTTCAGCCACTTCAAATATATATTATATTCTGCCTAAAACTATTTCTACACCATTTTTCCTATGCGCACGATCCAATTAAAAATGTTGATTTTCCCGTTCGTGAATGCTTCTTAGCAAATGTTCGTGTAGTTGTTTCGGATGCACTGGGCCTTGTAAGAAATGAAGCGAGACGAAGCAAATCTTTGTGTCAGAAAGGGCGCCGCCTTTCGCTCTTGATGAGTCGCCATTTTTTCGGTTCCGGTAAATGCCTGACGCGTTCTCGAGCCAATCGCGTTCGCGTTTGAGAACGTCACTTTGTTTTGAAGTCGCCAGTCTCGGCATTTGCCAACAGTTAGTCGGCCTCCCTTCTCTTCTCGACTGTCCGATGCGAAGACAAAACGCATTCATCGCTCGCTTTACTCTCATTTCTGTCTGTGAGTGGCACGCACCGAACAATCTGGGTAGAACTCTCACCCCACTGACCCACACCCCCAGAAAAAAACGGTGACACATTCATCCCCGAGAGTACCCCAATGGTTAAAGAAAAAATGCCGGCATTACAAGTAGAAACAATTCGCATGGAATCATGTATACAAATATTTATCTCACCCCTCCCAATCTCACTCACTCACTCACTCACTCACTCACTCACTCACTCACTCACTCTATCTATCTATCTATCTATCTATCTATCTATCTATCTATCTATCTATCCCAGTCTGTTCATATCTATCTATCTATCTATCTATCTATCTATCTATCTATCTAATTCTGTTCATATCTATCTATCTATCTATCTATCTATCTATCTATCTATCTATCTATCTCAGTTCGTTCATATTCTGTTCATTATCTATCTATCTATCTATCTATCTATCTATCTATCTATCTATCTATCCCAGTCTGTCCATATCTATCTATCTATCTAGCTAGCTAGCTAGCTAGCTAGCTCAGTTTGTTTATATTCTCTTTATTATCTATCTCTTCATGTATCTTTCTATCTCAATCTCTTTATATCCCTTTTTCTTTCTATCTATCTCTATCTTTTAATCTCTCTCTCTCTCTCTCTCTCTCTCTATATATATATATATATATATATATATATATATCGTTGATTTTTTTTTGCATATTTCCAGTTTGCTTGTGTTGGAATTTTAATTATATGACATGTCATGTTTAATTTTACGACATATAAGTTTCTTTATTTTATTTTTTATATATCGGGCTCTATAAGCACTTACTTGGTTCGAAAATAGGACACTATTGGTCGTGTATATTTGATTCTATAACCATTTATATCGGCTACAGCTTAAATGGTAGGACAGACTAGATTCTTTCTCTTGGCTGGCAATCAATCAAAGAGAAGGAAACATTTAATTCCCAAACTCGGGCAGAGGTAGGACTTTAGCTTGCGAATTATCCAAGGGAAACAAAACCCAATCAACAACAAAAAAATCTCTAAAACAAAAATAAACAAAAAATAAAAATAAAATCTTTATTAGCACACAGAGGTTTGGGTGTCGGGCCATTTACCCGTGGAACAATTCGATTACGGAAACCTCACGAGAAGCTACATGTGCCCCACGAATCACCAGGGAGATAATAGTAGTATATTTGAAACTCAAAGCATTTACATTTATAAGGGAGAGATAAGTATAGATATATATATTTGCGATTAAATCATTTCCATGTGTCGGAGATAGGTAAATATTTGTCGTTTATATGCGAGTCTCTAACTTAGTAAATATTGATTATATATGTTTACATCTTTGGAAGAAGGATCTTATCTATTTGCAGCGGTGTATTCTAGGCCACGTCATCAGGAATGTAGAAGCTGTCACACAGATTAAATTTATAAAGAAACTAATATTTTTGTTCAAGTACTTTCGGTAATTCGTGTTCATTATCAGGAACGTTATTTTTGTCAGTAACATAGATAAAGGTTTTCAGATTCATCCTGGCATTAAAATTTACTATCTGGGTCATTTTTAAATTTTATGAATTTATAAATTTTATGCCATTTTTAAATTTACTATCTGGGTCATTTTCACTCGAGATCCATTCAACCGGAACAAACTTGGCACATCCATTTTACAATGTAAGAGGTAGGTTCTTTGCGTAAAAAAATCTGTAATTTAAAAAAAATCGATAATCGATAAAGCCGATCAAAAATCGATAAATTCAACTTTTTTCCTCCGATTTTGTTCAAAGTCGGTATGTAGGTTACTTACATCATGACGAGCTCAACCTTTGCGTTTAGCGAAAAACGAAAAAATCGATTTCAACACAAATTTTAAACTAAAAACTCCCTCACTTTTCAAGCAATCTAATACAAACTTCACTCAATTGTAGCCAACAATACGTTGATTGTTTAACAGTCATTTAACTTGATAATTGAGTCCACCCATATCGTGAAAACCTGCGTAAATAGCGAAAAATAGCGATTTAAAAAAAAAGACTTTCCCACTTTTTATCTACAGGAGAACACTAAAGCTATGGAATTTTATTGCCTTAAAATGGGGGTTTCTCTTTTCTAATTAAAAGCTTACATATAGAATTCATATAGACATTAAGTTTACTCACGATCGGTGCCTTTAATTTTAAGTATCTTACTTTCCAGCACAGTTATTTTACCTGTTATATTTAGTCTTTTTTTCAAAGAGGCCAGAGTAATCTCTTCATATATGTTCTGCTAAACCTGATTTCATAGTAGCTCCATAGTTAATTGATTGATAGTTTATTTATGTCGGATATTTATTGTAAGAATAATGTTTTTTAGAGCGTATAAATCTAGCATTAACAATTACTGGAAAATAACGATGCTTTTTCCAGATACATGTCCAGGTATTTAACCCATAACTGGAGAAAGCGATAGATTCTTACCTTTTCCAAGGGTATTTGAGCATAAGTGGATGTAACGAAATCGACTGGAATTCAAAATCGGCTTTCAGATTCCTCTTTCCGAGCCGCTATCCAACACCCAGGGACCCTGCCGCCCCATCTCTCTCTCTCTCTCTCTCTCTCTCTCTATCTATCTATCTATCTATCTATATATATGTATATATATATATATATATCTGTATATATATATATATATATATATATATATATATATATATATCAATTTGTTTCTCTCTACCTATCTATCAATCTCAATTTGTTTGTATCTATCTATCTATCTATCTATCTATCTGTGAATATTATCTATCTATCTATCTATCTATCTATCTATCTATCTATCTATCTATCTATGTTACTGTGAACATTTTCTATCTATCTATCTATCTATCTTACTGTGAACATTATCTATGTATCTCAATTTGTTTCTTTCTATCTATCTATCTATCTATCTATCTATCTATCTATCTATCTATGTTACTGTGAACATTATCTATCTATCTATCTCAATTTGTTTTTATCTATCTATCTATCTATCTATCTATCTATCTATCTATCTATCTATCTATCTATCTATCTCATTCTGCCTATGTCTACCTGAATAGGTAAACTTGGCAAGGCTCGATATACGCACTTGATTATTTCTTTTCCAATATATTTACATTTTTACCCACAATTTCAACGCATATGAAAATGGCATATTTGCATTGGCGAAAATTGTAAAACAAATTCAAAACACCCAAGAAGGCAATGGTAAACTACTCCAGCATATTTACCAAGAATTAATGACAATTCACAGATAATAAGGAAGATATGGTGAGTCAATCAAGACAAAAATTGAAATATAATAGCAAAGGCCTGTCTTTAAAAAAAAAAGGTGGAAATCTACCGAAGAGGCGCGAACCTTTGTTGTCTTTTTTCTAGAGTCATCTAGCTTGCACGTATTTAATTTATACTTTAGCAATATCAAAAGTAGATTTTTGTGTTTTTTTTCCGTTTTCTGCATTATTATTGTGGTTATATTAATATTGTTGGTTTTTTTCTCCACACAGTTAATACACACTTCATTATTACTATTATTTTATTACTAGTTTTATTCCATCTTATTATTGTTGCTTTTTATCCCAACACTCTGGCTCTATACACTCTTCATTATTACTATTATTTTATTACTATTTTTATTCCATCTTATTATTGTTGCTTTTTATCCCAACACTCTGGCTCTATACACTCTTCATTATTACTATTATTTTATTACTATTTTTATTCCATCTTATTATTGTTGCTTTTTATCCCAACACTCTGGCTCTATACACTCTTCATTATTACTATTATTTTATTACTATTTTTATTCCATCTTATTATTGTTGCTTTTTATCCCCAACACTCTGGCTCTATACACTCTTCATTATTACTATTATTTTATTACTAGTTTTATTCCATCTTATTATTGTTGTTTTTATCCCAACACTCTGGCTCTATACACTCTTCATTATTACTATTATTTTATTACTAGTTTTATTCCATATTATTATTGTTGCTTTTTTATCAACACTCTGGCTCTATACACTCTTCATTATTACTATTATTTTATTACTAGTTTTATTCCATCTTATTATTATTGTTGCTTTTATCCCAACACTCTGGCTCTATACACTCTTCATTATTACTATTATTTTATTACTAGTTTTATTCCATCTTATTATTGTTGCTTTTTATCCCAACACTCTGGCTCTATACACTCTTCATTATTACTATTATTTTATTACTAGTTTTATTCCATCTTATTATGGTTGATCCCAACACTCTGGCTCTATACACTCTTCATTATTACTATTATTTTATTACTAGTTTTATTCCATCTTATTTTTGTTGCTTTTACTCCCAATATTCTTTTTTTATGATTTGTTTTACTGTATATCATTATCGTTTCTTTTTATGTCAACATTTTGGTTCAATATAATTTTCATTGTTATTGTTTATTACTCACTTTTATCCTCCATCTGTGCTATTTATTGACGGTTGTACAATCTCGTAACGTGCGAGTCGCAACGCTAAATTTTAAAAAATAACACATTCTTAAAAAACATCTTTCGGCCTACAAACAATTATTTCGCCTTCAAGTTTTAACTTTAAAGGAAAAAAATGACAGCCTGATGATGGAGACATGGATCTTCGAAAGTACCTGCTTAACTTAAAAATATATACACTAGAAACATCTGACAACAGTTTTATAAACGAGGATCACACCATTCAATGGATTAACAGTATTTTAATGCATAAATTATGTTCTACTAGCGATGTGATTTCGCCATTAATGGCATTAATATTGATGATTGATTCTATGTATGATTATTTCTTTATATATAAAATATATGCTGCCTAATATTATATATATATATATATATATATGTGTGTGTGTGTGTGTGTGTGTGTGTGTGAAAAGTGTTTGTATATAAATATAAACATAAATATATGTATGTAATATATTATATATATATTATTTAAATATTATATGCGCGGTACTTATTAGAAAGAGCTCAATATCAGAGATAGAGCTAACATATTTGTTTGATTGATGTGAGTTTGTGACCTGAGTTTCACGCTTTTTGCGATCGTCAGACAAACAAAGGGTTTGTCTGACGATCGCAAAAGCGTGAAACTTAGGCTCACAAACTCACAAATCCAACCCAATATATATATATATATATATATATATATATATATATATATATATATATATATGTATATATATATATATATATATATATATATATATATATATATATATATAGTTCTGATTTGGTAATTTTGGGGAGTTTTTATTTCTTTTTTTGGTACGTCTTTTTTTTTTTCTATTTTTTTTGTAATATCGTGAAAGTTGATTTATTTAGTCATTTTCTGTATTCTGTTTTCCCACGTTATTGTTTATTACCCCGGACCCCAATTTTCAAATAACTGACCCTCACCTCAACCCTACCCCAACTCCTCCGGCAACCGCATTAACCAATCAACCTGCCACCAATTTGTCTGAGATTTTTATCTAATAAACAACCCCTGTGTTGTCCTCCCTTTGTGGTATGTGTGCGAAAAGAGCCGATTATACTGCGCTAATGGACTCCGCTGATTAGGAATATTAAGCAAGATTTTTGCGCCTAAAACAAGCGGTCAGGCAATCAAATGTATAAATGGTAGGCTCTGATTTCAAGCAGGACGGCAAGAGCAAGGGCGAGCGGGCGAAGGGATATTCAAATTCAGTCTGGAATTTTCCACCCGCTTCTTGCAATTTTCTCTAAACGCTTCCTTGTGAAACAAAAACCCGCCAAGCTCGGCCATTTTGTTTCACACGATTCGCTATTGTTCTCTTCAAACGGCCATTTTTGATTGTTGCTTGTTTACTTTCTTTCTGTATGTATCTATCGTTCTTCATCTCTCTCTCGCTATCTCTCTTTCTCTCTCAAATCTATCTATCTATCTATCTATCTATCTATCTATCTATGTCAGTCTGTTCATATCTATCTATCTATCTATCTATCTATCTATCTATCTATCTATCTATCTCAGTCTAATCAGATCTATCTCAGTCAACTCAGATCTATCTATCTATCTATCTATCTATCTATCTATCTATCTATCTATCTATCTATCTATCTCAGTCTGTTCATATCTATCTATCTATCTATCTATCTATCTATCTATCTATATCTATCTATCTCAGACTAATCAGATCTATCTCAGTCTGTTCATTATCTATCTATCTATCTATCTATCTATCTATCTATCTATCTATCTCAGTCTAATCAGATCTACCTCAGTCAACTCAGATCTATCTATCTATCTATCTATCTATCTATCTATCTATCTATCTATCTATCTCAGTCTGTTCATATCTATCTATCTATCTATCTATCTATCTATCTATCTATCTATCTATCTATCTCAGTCTAATCAGATCTATCTCAGTCTGTTCATATCTATCTATCTATCTATCTATCTATCTATCTATCTATCTATCTATCTATCTATGTCAGTCTGTTCATATCTATCTATCTATCTAGCTATGTCAGTCTGTTCATATCTATCTATCTCAGTCTGTTCATATCTATCTATCTATCTATCTATCTATCTATCTATCTATCTATCTATCTATCTATCTATCTCAATGTCAATCTGTTGACATGTATTTCACTCTGTTCATGAAGAGGATAATTAATTCCAATTAAATTAATGACATCCGCACTTAACATTATCTATATTTTTACACTGCAGATCATGGCTCTCCACAGTCTTATTTTTCTTAGTTATCTGTGTTATTATTTTGGTTTCGTTACTATTGTTTTTTTTTTCTCTTAACACTTGAATTTTAGTGCCTTTTACTATCTTTGCTTCGGGTGTAAATATTAAAAGCTAAACGAAAAATGACAAACTTGGTCTTTAATGCCCGCAAAAATCGGACTATCAAAATAATGGTTTTTCCCTTGACACCGCTATTATTTTAACTACCTTCACTCCTCGATAATGTTTATTGTTTTAAAAAGCACTGATAAGAATTGGAATAAAATCTAAACATATGAGGAGACTGAATTTATACGTTTTCTTTGTTATTTCAGAGTTTAGGCGGAGACGTTAGAAGTGCAGTGATGAAGCAGACTTTAAAAAAGAAACCGGAAACCCACTCCTAAACAGGAAACAAGGAAGAAACGTCTACTCCTGTCTAAAAGACCGTATATATATATATATATATATATATATATAATTTTTAATAATAATAATAATAATAATAATAATAATAATAATCTTATAAATATAAGTAAGTATACTCGTCCGGAAAAACCTTAGGTGTTTTGGTTTGTAAATGAACAAACCAAGTAAATACCCAAGTAAAAATAAGGGATAAAAAAAGAAAGAACTAAGAACATGTAATTGAGGCGAAAACAATCGTCCAGAATTCAAGCTCAGAGTCCAAAGAAAAAAAAAACACCAAAACGAGTAAAGCAAAAGGAACTAAATAAAGTGCTCAATACACTAAGTAGAGCAAACCTAAATATGAAACTAAAGAGCCAGGCAATCCTACCTAGGTTTCACCTACGCGGATCGTCAGGGTTCTCCGGTCAAAGAGGTAACATTAGAATAGAATATAAATAGCCTACAACATAAAAACATGACCATGGGACCCCCACACAAAAAACACAGTAACACAACAACGGGAGGGGTTAATACATATTTATTCAATAACCAAAAAAAAAAAAAAAGAAAAAAGAAGAAAATATTTTAGATTTAGCAAATTGTTGGGTTCTTTATAGAAAGCGATACCTAACTTTTACTCTATACACAGAGGAAAAGTTAGAATATATATATATATATATATATTTTTTTTTTTTTTTTTTTTTTTTAGACCAAAGATTTAATAAAAAAGAAAGATGCTTTTCCCGTGAAATTACCTTTCTTGGACATATTATGGACGATTTTTCCCCCGTAGTATGTTG